CAGTCTAAAACTTATCAGTGTACGTGATGACAGGTTCCATCCCCAATGTAATCTTCCAGGAATATCAGGCGATCAGCCTCCAGTGCGTAAGGTCACATTTAATTTTGCTAAGTGACAAATTAGAAACTCTACTTGTCAATGTATTTACATTGCTCAACAGTTAGAAGTGTGTGGAGACAAGTTACAGCTTACAAGTTTACAGGTAGCTGAAAACCTGGATCTTTTGGGGCTGGTGATGCATAAGCTCAGTGCATGCAGCTCACAAGTGGGACTGAGAGGATTGTACCTTCAAGGCTGTTCTCAAATCTCATTCTGAAAGGTACAGGCCTCATTTTAGCAATGTTTTGCAAACCAGGTTTAAGTCGGGGAGGGGGGAGTACAATGGGGCCTAAACATATTCTTATGAGGGAATCAGGACTCCTGTGGGAACTCTGATTTGACATGTATATCTGGATTGAAAATCCCAGGATTAAGTTGACACTATTTGTGATTGTTGTTACAAATATGACTTTTTAAGGTCTCAATAATAGCTGACATATCCTCAATATGATGCTATGCTTTGTGATAGCTTTGTGATAACACAGTATAAATAACAAATTAAAAACAATGCACCAAATATATAAGCACTGAGGTAAAGAACCAGAATATTCTCTTTGACCCCCAGGTGGCACTCCTGGTCAGCCTTACAATGCACATAAGGCAGACATTAACCCCTCTGAGTATAATATGCTGAAATAAGATCTAGATGTTTGAGATTAAACAGTTCGATGATGATGATAAAATGAATCAAACTAAAGGTAACACTTAACGATTCTATTGAGTTTGCACTAAAGACTTGAATTGATACGCTTCCTATTTTTGCTGAAAGCTGCAGTATCCAAACATTCTGAAATGCATCAGTCACTGCTAATACACTTCTGAAACAGGAAGCAAAATTATGGGTAGGATTAGGCCATTTCATTCTTATTTAAGTTTATTTTTAGAAACATAGAAACAGGAATAGGCTATTCAGCCCCTCGAGCCTGTTCCGCCGTTCCATAAGATCATGGGTGATCTGTACCTCAACTCCAATTACCCACTATTGCCCCTTATCCCTTAATACCCTGACCTAATCAATATCTATCCACCTACGTCTTGAAAATGTGAATGGATCCAGCACCCACAACCTTTTGGGAGAGAAAGTTCTAGATTTCCATTACCCTTTGGGGTGAAAAACTACTTCCTGATTAGGATTAGGATTAGTAACTCTGAGGTGTTTATCCTCCCCTGAGCTTATGTCACTTTTGAAATTGTTTAAGAAAAACGTGAAGCTAAGATACTGCTTTTATTTTGCTTACTAAATGTTTTAAAAATATATTGATGCATAAAATGGCAATGTTTCCATGAATTTGAACCCTAATTCTACAATTTATTAAAATACATTCTACCAATGTACTACTGACAACCTTTTGGGTGATATGATGCATAATGATAGAATAATTTTGATTTCTGTACATTATTGCTATGCATAAAATTACACACTTGGTCACCCCATATTGTAATGTTAATATTTAAATTTTCTTAACTTGCATTTATAGCATTGTTCAAACAGCAAGATTGTTACAGAATTTTACATTGTAAGAGTTGGCAGGTTAGAGGCTTTCTCTCCAGAGATGAAACGATTAAGAGGGGATAGAGGTGTTTCAAATTCTGAACGGATTTTATAAGATGTCCAAGTAGTAACAAGGACTGCTTCCACTTATTGATGAGTCCAAAACGAAGATAGCGAGTAGAAAATCCAAAGGGATGTTAAGGAGAAACTTCAAGTAGTGGGTGGTGAGAATACAGAACTCAATGCTGGAAGCTGTGGTTGAAGCAAAAAGCATCAACAAGTTTAAGAGGAAACTTGATGCACACACAAGGGAGAAGGGAGCAGAGGGATTTGTGAAAACATATTAGGAAGGGTGGATGCTCTTGAGGAATACTGGTGTGGAACAGTTGGGCCTATTGATCTGTTTCCGTGTTGATACATCCTACATAATGCTGTGAACAGTCAAACACAAGTTAAATGCAAAGTTGAATTTTGGCTAAAGTTTGAAGTTCATTTTTCAAAAAACTTCAATTAACGTCTTAGTTACAGACATCTGCATGTGCTCATCGGGATAGTGTAGCAATCAACATTTTTATGCTTCACTAACCATGATAGCAGGTAAAGCAACCTGACACAAGTGAATCTTATAACATCCCTGTAGTGCTATAATCATCTGTGAGGAACAAATTGATAACAGTTGGATAACAATGTGCTGTTATGTACATTTCTGTACTTAGTGAATACAATTTGTAGCATGGAGAGGTCTCTAATAGCTCTGCTGTCTGTTATTGTGACTCTACACTAGAGAAAGCTGCGGAGAGACATTCTCTTTGACTGAAAACTGGATATAAATCTGAACAATTATAGGGGTGGCGACATTGGATTTCAAATAACACCTTGCCTTGGCAAGATGGGATTTACTAGCAACTAACAGAAAATTAAAATATATATTTGTATGTGTGTATATGTTCAACTAAAATAGAACAAATTGCATTAGTTACTTGTTCTAATTTAGAATAATAGAGAAAATATATTCTTCTAATATATTTGAACAATATATTATTCATATATTGTTCAAATAATATATTTTATTATACCGCTGTCTTAACTACAACTAGCTGGGTTTTCATGTTAATGTGTCTTTTTGGCCAGCTGGGTGTCTGTGACAGGCAATGGAAACCATTGCAGTACGTAAGAGTATCCAAACTAAACAGAGTTCCACAAATGCTTGGATATTTCCCTCTGTATAGAACAGGTGTTCACTCTCTCCACAGAAGCATGCACCATCATCATTACCTAATGCATTACCTAATCCCAGAAAGCATTAGGTGCAGGTTGGCAAAAAATAATGTGTGTTGATGATTTTTAGCCAGTTTAACCAGCATAACCAGCATATCAAATGCAAGGATTATTATAACATTGAATAAATTAGGCCCAAATCGACAGATGTCATTAGCAAGCTATATAATACTCTACTGTCAGGCCTTGAGTATGGCATACAATTCTGGTCAGGTCATCAAGACATACAACAGCATGTTGTAAGGAATGAGATAACACAGAGGATGATGATTCTTTAAGAAAGCTGGTGTCCCTGCTAACCCTGGTACCAACTCTGCCTTGAAGTGATGGATTTGAGTGTTATCCTTCTCTTGCTTGGTTGGGTTCATCAACAGATGGTTTGTATCTTAGATGAGGATATTGGTGCTTTATGGTCAATCAGGAGGTAATTATCTCCCGAGAATGTGTCAAAAGAATGATGTTGGAGGATGCTTTATAGTCCCTGGCTTGCCACACACATAATGTTTTACCTCTTGACCCCACTTGGTATCATACAATAAATAGGGATTGGCATATTTTGGGGTGAGAACACTGTTGTCACATGTGCAATGTTTCTCGTAGACAGTTGGACAAATGATTTCTCTGATTCATGTCTCTCTGCATGTAGAAATTGTTTAGATTTTTATCCAAGTTTCGGTCAGAGGGAATGTCTCTCCGCAGCTTTCTCCAGTGTGGAGTCACAATAACAGACAGCAGAGCTATTAGAGGCCTCTCCACGAATTGTATTCACTAAGTACAGGAATGTACATAACAGCACACCAAGCACACTGTTATTCAATTGTTATCAATTTGTTCCTCACAGATGATTATAGCACTGCAGGGATGTTATAAGATTCACTTTTGTCAGGTTGCTTTACCGACTATCATGGTTTGTGAAGCCTAAAAGTGCTGACTGCTGCATGATGCTGGTGTGCACATGCAGATGTCTAAAACTAAGACTTTTGGGATATAAAAGAGGGAGTTTTAATCAGTGTTAGTGAGATGTAGATCTGACTGACTTCCACTGATTGCTGTTCTCCCATGGAAAGCTAACTGATCACTACTTTATTCACTGAAACCTGGTTGCTATGATTATTGTGCCTAGTGATAGTGGTTCAATGCTTTCTGAATAACCATTGACTGTTGAACTGTAAATAAAGGAAACAATGGTTTAACATCCAAATTGCATGCACTATTTCATCATTAATTAATAAGAATGTTTCTTTACAAGGCGGTGCAGAGGAGAATGATTAGCAAGCTAGGGCTCCTAAGTGTTGAAAGAAGATGACTCAGAGGGAACCTTATAGAGGTATATTAAAATTTTAAATAGGATTGAAAAGGTAAACCCAGATCAATGCTTAAGGATGCACCAAGACAGTAGAACAAGAGGACAGAGGTTCATAATTGCAAAGGGCAATTTCAGCACAGACACCAGGAAGTTTTTCTTTACCCAGAGGGTAATTAACCAATGAGGCAAGTTACCAGGAAGGGTTACTTAGGCCTGGACTAAAGAGTCATTTAAAAAATAGCTCAATGCTTTGATGAAAGAACAGTAGGGTGAGAATTCTGGAAGGATGGGATCAGATGGGCCAAAGGGCTTCTCATGCTAGTCATGACACCCTATCCATTTGGGCTCTGACTTGTAGGATTAACAGGAGTTAGAAGTGTGAAGAAACCATACTTTAGTGAAAGTTCATTCCCAAATATAGTTTTAGTCAAGCACGAAGCACTAGAAAAGGCTTGATGAGGCTAAAGGTCTCCTCTACTACCACTTCTATGAAATAGGTTTGATCATTATAATAACAATCCTTGGATTTGATAATTATTTTGTTAGTCATTGAAATCTGTGAACAATAACATTTATATAGCACCCTTCATGTAGAACAAGGTATCAGAGTGTTTAATAGGAACAACTGAGAGAAGTTGCTCAATGATTTTCCCTTTACTTTGGGACCTCCACTAGCTCAATGGCTTTGTGGAAATAGGAACTTCCCACGTGGAGATTTGTAGACACAAATGTACATATTTTTACTCCACGCTTCAAGCACATTGTCCAAACAATGACTGAAAGTAATATGCCTAAATGTTACACTGGTGTATGTTAGGAACATACCTTGAGCTATAAAGGGGGTATTTCCATACTGAAGTGTGCTTGGTCGAGGTATAGGTGCTGGTGGTCTTTTTGAAACATTGGCAGAAGATTCCTTTTTCATTGCCCCATTGCTGTTCTCTTCTGGTAAAATCATATCGTAGGGATCATCATCCAAAGCCAAGGTGTAAATATCCTCATTATCGTATTCTTCAATGTCTTTCACACTTGAGTTGTCTTTTCTTTCTTTAGCTGTTGAAAGTTTATAACAAATCTGGTTGATTACAGCTTTCTTTCCTATTTAAATAATATTGGATGAATTTAATGTAACACCTTTCACAAAGGGAGAATGTTTCAAAGCGCTTCACAGGATTTACTGTAAAATGCAGTGACTGTTTATTTTGTTGGTGAATGCGACAATCAATTTATTCACAGGGATATCCCGTGAACAGCCATGAAGTGAAAGACCAATTTTATCTGGGGGATTGTTAGCCAGGAAACCATGAGAAACTCCCGTCTCTTTCCGAATAGTGCCATGGGATCTTTAACAGCTCAACAGGCAGACAAGACCTTACTTTAACATATCCTCCAAAGGATGGCCCCTCCGACAATGCAGAGTGCCCAGCATTGCTTTAGCGTATAGCCAAGCCTCTATGAGTTCAAAGTTCCAATGTGGGCTTGAACCCACAACCCTTTAGACTCTGAGCCGTGAGTGCTACCAACTGAGCTAGTCAAAACCATTTAGTTATTACCTGGGCCAATAGAAAATGTGGCTGCACTTTTACTGCGGAATCCGCCATAACGCCCCAACTGCTCCAAACCCGCTACAAATTAAGTTTCTGGCTCGCGGGCCACTCGCGGGTTACCTGATGTCACTGTGGGCCTAGCGGCTCTGGACACATGTGTGGGGCAACCGGCAAATGGGCTTCACTTGGAGCTCCCGCTGTTGTCTGTGTATTTATGTGATTGTTAGTGTCTGTGTGTGTCTCTGTGTTTGTGAGTGTCTGTGTGTCTCTCTCTCCACGGTATGTCTGTGTGTGTTTGTGAGTGTCTCTCCTCTGTATGTATGTTTGTGAGTGCATCTGAGTGTATCTCCTAAATGTGCACGTGTGTGTGTGTGTGTTTCTGAGTGTCTCGGTGTGAATGTGTAAGTGTCTCACCTCTGTCTGTGTGTGTGTGTGTATGTATCTCTGTGTCTTTGAGTGTGTGTCTGTCTGTCTGTCTCTCTTCTCTGTCTCTGAGAATGTGTGTCTCTCCGTGTCTGTGTGAGTGGTGTGTGTCTCTCTGAATCTGTGTGCTGTGCCAGCCATGAGAGACAGGAGGTGGTAAGCTCCTGTAGTCTCGTTGTGTTCCCCTCACCAAAAAAAAAGGGCTACCCAGTTTATGTTAAAGAAGTAATTAATTTTTTTGCAACAATCTAATATGTGTTATTTCCTTATGTTTAGTTTTTATCAACAAAATTTAAAAAAAAGGTTGGCAGTAAAATGCACCTCAATAGCATCAATATTAAGCCACAGTTTTCTGCAAAATTTGTCAAAAATTTCCCCGCAATTTTTAGCAAATATTTCCCTACTTTTCTATTGACCCAGGTTATTAAGCAACATACATGTTTTTTACAATAAACTGTTAAATACATGGAACTTTCAACTAAGATTGGACAGAGATTAATAGATGTAAAAGTTGTAACCAAATGTCAACATTTCATGTGTATACAGTAAAGAGCAGATTATCCACACTAATTGGGAACTGTTATGGATGATTGAAAGGTTAAGGGATGATATGAAACAAATTAACAGGTTAGATAATGGCTGAACCACTCTTCTGTTTGGTAGAGGAATCCATTACAAAGGGCACAGCCTTAAAATCAAGGTGATCAGCACTGAGTTCAGCAAACATTTCTTCACAAAGGGGTTTGTGGAGATTTGGAATGCTCCAGAAGAGGAAGCAAAAACGATGTTTAAAAGAGAGATGAACTTAGGTGGTAGAGGTACAAATGGATATGGCGAAAAGGCAGGGATAAAAGGTCAAGACCTAATAAACTGGTGGAATAGACTCACTAGGCCAAATAGCATCCCCCTGTTCCTGTTCTCATATGTTGCTAAGAACACAAGCTTCACAGAATATACTGTAAAGTGAATTGACCGTATATTTGTGGGCGAACGCGGCAGCCAATTGCGCACAGCAATGTCCCACAAACAGTCGTAGATGGAAAATGACCATTCACATTTATTTTTAATAAACTACACAAGACTGGAATGTAGAACAACAACAACAAGATTACATTTGTATAGCGCCTTTCACGGATGTAATTTAATCTACCATTGCTACATAAAAAACTGAATCTTTAGGCACTCAATGACTTGTTTTAGTCAAAAGGTCAGCAAGACTCCAACACACACTCTGGGGTCCCCAAGCCTTGGCTCTCGCCAACCTGCACCTATTATTTTCTGGGATTAGGTAAGCAGGATGCCTCTCTCCTGGGAGAGGGCCACATTCCATTCCAACAATCTATCTCTGGAATTTTCACATGTAGAAGCATGGAAATCTCATCTTAGTTTGGATACTCTTAAGCATGTTGATAGGTTTCACATGTGTCAGACACCCAGCTGATCAAAAAAAACTTTACTGAATCCTACAATTGATTTTGTAGGAATTTAGGACATGAGAAGGCGATTCTGCTTCTCATACCATATGTACCAACACTAATACAATGGGTCATAAAGCCTCCTACTGTGTCGTAGTTTTCTGTGGAACAAGGATTGCGGCTCAACTAATTATCCAGAGAACCTGTTGTGGAATAAATATTTTTACAATATGTTTTGCAAGAGTTTCTATTGTCACTAGTGGAGCTGATTCTAATAGGAAATATATATTAATAATAATAATTGCATTTTTGCTGCTGAGTAAAAATCTACATGGGTAAATAAAACTTTCATTGAGTGCAGTACTTGACTGGTACATATGGTCTGTTGCTGTGCTACCAATGTCCTGTACCTATTCTATACAGAAATCTTCACTGTCAGCCTCATAACTTAAATTGCAAAAGCTAGTCATAGCACCTGGGAGTTATATTCCAAAAATGTTTGGAATCTGTTTTCAGGAAAACAATGGTCAAACAACGTAAATTTAAATTACACCAATGCAGACAAAATAGGCCATGGACTTTGCAGAATAAGATTAATTAAAAATGAAGTGAATATTGTTATGGAAGCAAATGTGTGAAATGGGAGGAAGTATCAATTCATGTTCACATGAATTGCAAGGTAGATGGGACCCAAATGATTGTCTCAATTGTAATCGGGATGATGATCCAGAAATAAATCAATAAATACATGCGGAAAGAGCAGGGAATTGGGATGAGAGTAGATGCCAATAGTAGAGGAGTTAGTACCAGCTAATTGACAGCCTCTCTTCAGCAATGGAATCCCAGGAGGTGGAGGCCAGGACACAGTGACTCATTTTAAGAAGCAAGTTTGATACTATGATGGGGAGGTGATGGGTTTGGTATTATGGAAGGATGAGATAAAATGCTTGGGCTTGGTGGGCAGAATGGCGCAATGCTGCAATTTTTATGATGCTACAACGTATACATAATACAGAATGTTGTTATAATAATAATCCTTACATTTGATATGGTGCCTTATCATGTCATTGAGACGTCTTAAAGCGCTTCACAGAATATATGACTTTCAATAATAAGTGTAATTTAATGACACATGCTTACAATTAAACCTATTTTGTAGCAAGGATTTTATTGAAGCTTTTTGACTATGTTGTGGGCAAATGTGTATTATGTAGGCAAATCTGATATCATAATAATCCTTGTATCTGATATAGTGTTATCATGTTGAATGAAGTACCTCAAAGCATGTCACGGTAAATTATCTTAACAACAACAAGATTACATTTGTATAGCGCCTTTCACGTCGGGAGGACGTCCCAAGGCGCTGGAGAGTGTACTGGATTTCAGACCCGAGCTGGGGTCAGGGAGGAGAGGGGGTGACCAATGGCATGGTTGAAGAGGAGGGTTTTGAGGCAGGACTTGAAGGAGGCTAAGGAAGGGGCGAGGTGGAGTGATTGGGGGATGGAGTTCCAGAGGTTGGTCGAAAGCTTTCCCACCAATGGTGAGCCGGGTGGGTCGGGGGATGTGGAGCAGGCCAGAGCCAGCTGAGAAGAGGGAGTGGGTGGGTTGGTAGGGGGATAGGAGGTCACAGAGAAAGGGTGGGGCGAGACCATTGAGGGCTTTGTAGGTGAGGACTAGGATTTTGAACTGGATCCTCTGAAGGATAAAGAGCCAATGGAGTCGGGCGAGAATGGGGGAGATGGGGGTCACAGAATTTGGTGCGGGAGAGGACACGGGCTGCAGAGTTCTGGATTATCTACAGCCTGTGGAGGGAGGAGTTGGGAAGGCCGACAAGCAGGACGTTTTCATAGTCGAGCCTGGAAGTGATGAAGGCATGAACAAGAGTTTCAGCGGCCTAAGAGGTGAGGTAGTGGCGGAGTTGGGCAATGTTACGGAAGTGAGGGAAGGCAGAGCGAGTCATGGCTTGGATGTGGGGAAGAAAAGGCAGAACAAGACACCTAGGTTCCTGACTGGCTTGGTGAATTGAAGTGTGCAACCATGGAGGTTGATGTTGCCAGAGCCTGAGGTGCTGAGGCGCTGGCGTGAGCCAATTAGGAGGGCCTCAGTCTTGTTCACATTCAACTGTAGGAAGTTTGCTCTCATCCAGGACTTGATGTTCGACAGGCAGTCTGTCAGCACAGCAGTGGTCCTGGAGTTGAAGGTGGAGGCAGAAAGATAGAGTTGGGTGTCATCCGGATACATATGGAAGTTGACCCCATGTCCCTGGATGATGTCACCAAGGGGGGAGCATATAGATATTAAAGAGGAGAGGACCAAGGACAGAGTCCCGGGGGACGCCAGATGTGACAGTGCGGGGGCTGGAGGAGAAACCGTTAGAGGCAACAAAGTGGAGACAGTGAGAAAGATAGGAATTGAACCAGGCAAGGGCAGGTCCGTGATGATTAAGTAAGGAATAGAGGCGGTATATGAGGATGGAGTGGTCGACAGTGTCAAAGGTGGCAGAAAGGTTGAGGAGGACAAGGAGGCAGAGGGAACCCTGTTCACAGATGTTCAGAATGTCATCAGTGACTTTGACCAGGGCTGTTTCCGTGCTGTGGGCATAGTGACTGTGTACTTGTAGTTGAATGCAGCAGTCAATTTGTACACTGCAATGTCCCACAAACAGCCATGAGATGAATGAGCAATTTAACTAGACAAGTTGTTCGCTGAGGCATTGAGTTCAATTTCTTTCTCTTTTTCTCTAATGTTTATCTGAACTGGCAGACTGGACCTAGATTTAATATCTTCAAATAATAAAACCAAATAGGTTAGCATTGATATTGTGGTCTGGCAAGCTTTCCAGCTGCTTGTCCAACAAGGACCCCCTACCCGTTAGGCTTTCGCTTACATGGTTAACAGGAGCTGAGTGGAAGGATTCCCTGCCCCCGAAGACAGGTCTGCATTTCCAAGTCCTACTGATGACCCGGGCTGTCACCAGTAGTGCCCTGTACTGGGTAAATGTTGCAGTTTGTTAACACCCATGTGCTAATTAATACTGATCTTTCACCTTGCAGATTAGAGTATAGAGTCCTGTAGCTTTAGTGATTAGAGCACTAGCCTCAAAAGCAAGAGACCTGGGTTCGAGAGAAGTGAGGAAAGTAGAGAGGTGGACCTGAACAGACAGACCGGATCTCAGTTTAACATATCATATGAAGGATGCCACCATTGACAAATGCTCCCTGTGCACTGTATTGGAGTATCAGTTAAGACTGTGAACTCAAAGTTGTGATGTGGAGTTTGAACTCAAAACCTCTGACTTAGAGGCAAGAGTGCTACCAGTTGAGACAGGCTGCCACCAGCTTCACTGAAGAAAACCAAATCCGTACCCAAAAGACCAGCTTCTCAGATGCTTCATTTGAGAATTGTTGGGGAGATCAACTACCAATACACCTAGGGAGCAGTCAATGTGCTAAATATTATAGGGTGGCTAAATTTATTACCAGAACATTGAAGTTAATTATCAATTTATAACATCACAACATGTGCCTCAAATCTGTATTCAGCACTCAGTCACTTCTCTTTCCCCTACTCTATTCTATGATGTACTGCATTGGAATTAATAATATTAATTATAATAACAGTAATCTGCATTTGGTATAGTGCCTTATCATGTTGGAAGATTTTCTCAAAGCACTTCACAGGAATTACTGTAAAATGGAGTAACTGTGTATTTGCAGGCAAATGTGACAGCCAATTATGCGCATAGCAATGTCCCACATACATCCATGGAATGAACGACCAATTTTATTTGTGGCTTGTTGGTGGGGTCATTGGGTGAAACTCCCTTCTCTTTTCGATTAGTGCCATGGGATCTTTAACATCCACTTGAACAGGCAGAAGGGATCTCAGTTTAACGTCTCATCTGAAGGAAGGCACCCCCCTCAGAACTACATTGGAGTGTCAGCTTAGACTATGAGTTCCCGACATGGGACTTGAACTCATAACTTTCCGACTCAGATGCGAGAGTGCTACCACTGAGCCAAGCTGACACAATCCTTGGACAGAATTCGGACAGAAATGTAAAGCTGAGAGTGTTATATAAAAAGTAAATATTTCATGTTACATAAACCACTCAGTACTCGAAGGGTTTGTGTGAACTTTAAAAGAAAATTTAGTGGTACGGATTGAGCTGAACCACACAGTGACTTAGTGTTGAGGACAGCATAGCTGTTATTAGATGTTTGAGTGGTCAGATGTCAGGAGTCACACACAGCTCAGCTTTTCTTTGCACACAGTTTATTCTATGGATTTTCCTGTTCCTATTCACTCTTGTGTGCAGCCACGTTCTGCAAGTGCCTCCTTCAGATGTTTCTATTTGGCATCTCCTCAGCACAGGAAGTTCTTCCAAAAGGAAATTCCTGTCCAGTTCTGTCATCTCAGCACAAGCTCTCAGTTTAATTAGGAAAAGTGGTCTCATCTGCATGTCACGTCTGGTGCCAGTGAAACAGCCAGGCATCAAACGGCCACAAATGGTATATGTTAAACACGCTTTGACTTTTGATATGTTTGAATGTACAAAATATGTTCACTAAAACAAATATCAAGCCTACATACTTTTTCTTAGGCACGTAGAGTACCATTCACACAGTGCGTTGCTGTATTTTTTTTACAGCTTTCAAACCACTCTAGGTCTAGTGACCTGACTCTTTTAGCAAACTGAGGAGGTTCAGCAGTAAGTCTTCTGTTTACCTAGTTCTCTCCCAAACCAATGTGAAGCCAAAGTATATTAATCTTGTTGATTCGCATGTCTGCTTTTATGGCTACGCACAAGTAATCTCTTTGATCGTTTAACTATCGTGAGTCATAAAACCATAATTCTGCTAAAGTTCTTTTTCATTTGTAAAAGATTAATTATTTTCTATCCTTGCCATTCGGTGGTCTCCCTGTGTCAGATGCCCTTTTTCCTGCCAAAGAAAGCAGGCAAGCAATCTGCTCCCATCGCTCAAACTAATAGTGCTATCTAATCGCACACAAAAGCTGCGTGGAGTGACTCTCAATTTGAGTCTCTCTATCTCCGTGACTTAGTCTCTCCAGGACTCCCTCCCCACAGAGACACAAATGAGATCAATAAGTTTCCATGTGCACGAATCCACACTCCTATCCCTCCATCTTTCGGTGTATTGACTTTCAATGACAGAACTGGCCAGTGAATAAGTACAAATTCTAAGGCACATGGTAATGGAAACCCATTGACATGAACCATATAAAGGTTACAACAGCATTGAGCAATGCACTACAATAACTATTTTACATTTTTAACCATTTTAGTACAGAAAGACTTTTATATTTCAAATCTTAAAGCTTCTGCTGGAAACAGCCGACTGTAGAACTTTATAGCCTGCCCTGACATTAATCATTGGTTACATTGACGCAAGTTAGAATTGGCTTCAAGATTTAAAAAAATAAATGTGCTTTTTGTTCAAGTTCTATGGCACATTGCCGGCTCTCACTTCTTTTACCCTTCTGACATTATTTCCTGTGTTAGAACTTAATGATGGTGTGTGGGTGAAGACTTGATTCATTATGGAGCTTTATCACATTGAAAGATCTCAAAGCACTTTACAGGTAACTACTGTCAGATGTAGTGACTAAATTTATAAGCTCTTTGTACCAGCAAGATCTCACAAGCAGCAAGAAGGTAAGGAACAAATTTATCAGGAGGACATTGATACGGGCACTGGGAGAAACTTCCCTCTCTATTGGATCTTGAAAGTCCACCTAAAAACAGGCAAGCAGATCTGGGTTGAACGTCTCATCCATGTTCAATGCAGTATTGACAAACAGGGAAAATGTGGGTTTGTGCTCTACTCCTGACACATTGAGTTCCTAATCCTAGTGCTGGGGAAGGTGCAGGCAGAAGCTTGACCTTTCTCCACATCATAACAGATTCTCCTTCCACATCATAATAGATGTAATCTGGTTAATTTTTAACCAGCCTGGACATTTTTTGAACTGCCTTACTGGTGAAAAGATTTAATGTGCCTTTTTTTTTTACAGTGATCATACAGTATGCGCATCCCTCCCACCCACCCCTGACCCCTATGCATTGTGCACATTGTCTTTAGCAAGATGGACACCCCACCCTCAGTTCCAGGTCACTATTCCATTTGCAACAGTTACACAGCAGAAAATGGTCAGCTACTTGCCTGGGTTATAAGGAGAGGCCTTAAGAGATTTAAAGAAAGGGAACAGAAAAAGAAAAGAAGTTAGGTTATACAGCTCATTTAAGGAAATTGAAGACTCAGAGCATGCTTACCATTGGGAATGTGTGTCATTATTTCATAGACATTTTCCTCTTCGTCCAGACCTACGGAGTCCACATCATAATTACTCTGCAGTGTTTCGTGCCGTTGATCCTCTGATCTTTCAAATTGTAACTATAAAACAGCAAGGGTAGGAAAACGTTATTCCACACGATGTAGTACAAGGATTCTTATCTGTAAAAAAAACTTGTATTTTATATAAGTGTCTCAAAGCACTTCACATAATTGCTGTCAAGTGTAGTGGCTGTATTTATAGGCAAAATAGCAGCTAGTTTGCACAAAATAATAAAGTTCCCTGAACAGCTATAAAGTGAATAGCCAAATAATTTGGAGGATTCGCTGGACAGGGCAACCTGACTCTTTTCTGAATAGAGTCTTGGGATCTGTAACATCCATCTGCACAGAAGGACAGAATCTCGGTTTACTGTCTCATCCAAAGATTAGCACCTTCAATAGTGCAACATTCCCCCAGTATTGACCTATTTTGTCAGACTCCAAATTGGGCTTAAACTCTTAACCTTCTGACTTAGGCGGTCGCAGAGGTAGGGGGGAGCAAGGCCATGGAGGGCTTTGAAGGTGAGGACCATGATCTTGAACCGTATCCTCTGAGTGATGGAAAGCCAGTGGAGTCAGGAGAGGATGGGTGCATAGTCAAGCCTGGATGTTATGAATGTGTGTATGAGCATCTTGGCGGGCTGCAGTGTGAGAAAGTGGTGGAGCCGGGTGATGTTGTGGAGGTGGTCGAAGGCAGAGCGGGTCATGGCATGGATATGGGGTATAAAGGATAGTTGAAGGTCAAATAAGACGTGAGGTGGAGTGTGGAACCATGGATGGTGATGTTGTCAGCGCTTGAGATGTGGAGGCGCTGATGGGAGCCAATCAGGAGAGCCTCGGTCTTGTTGACATTCAACTGAAGAAAGTTAGCTCTCATCCAGGACTTGATGTCTGACAGACATTCTATCAGGACAGCAGTGGTCCTGGAGTCAAGGAAGGAGGCAGAGCAATACATTGGGTGTCATCTGCGTACATGTCAAAGTTGACCCCATGTCTGCGGATGATATCATTAAGAGGGAGTATATAGATATTGAAGAGGAGGGGACCAAGGACAGAGCCCTGAGGAATGCCACACGAGACGGTGCGGGGGCTAGAGGAGAAACCATTTGTGGAGATGAAGTGCAGGCGATGTGAGAGGTATCATCTGAACCATTCAAGGACAGCGCCGTGTAAGTTGAGGTAAGAGGAGAGGCAGTGGATGAGGATAGAGTGGTCGACGGTGTCGAAGGCAGCAGAGAGGTTAAGGAGGACGAGGAGGCAGAGGGAGCCCTGCTCACAGAAGGACAGAATGTCATTTGTCACTTTGACCAGGGCTGTTTCTGTGCTGTGGGAGGCACAAAAACCTGATTGAAGGAGTTCGTAAAGGCCGGAGAGGAAGGAGTGAAGCTGGGAAGCAATAACTCGTTCCAGGATCTTGGAGAGGAAGGGAGGTTGGAGATGGGGCGGTAGGTTGAGAGCAGGAATGGGTCCAGGGAGAGGATTTTAAGTATAGGGGTGATGATGGCTGTTTTTAAAGGGGTGCACTACATCAAATGTAAGAATTATTATATTTGTGGTGCAGAAAAAACCATGATCAGATATCTAGATGATGAGAAAAACAGGACATTTCTCTGTAGCTCAGTGGTTAGAGCACTCGCTTTGCAAGTGAGAGACCTGAGTTCATTTCCAGGCACAGGGCGAAACCTTGGGCAAGTTTCCTTACTCCACACGCCTCATAATAATCCCTCCAAAACCAAAAGCAATAATGAAATTGGTCATTTTCAATCTACGACTGTTTGTGGGACATTGCTGTGCGCAATTGGCTGCCACGTTCGCCTACAAATATACAGTCAATTCACTTTACAGTGTGTTCTGTGAAGCGTTTTGGGACGTCCTCCCGACGTGAAAAGCGCTATATCAAATGCAAGGATTATTATTATTAATATTATTATTTGTTTTAATATGAACAGATTTGCACAAGGTTTGTGTGATCTCTGTACTTTAGCCTGAGTTCTGTCTTATGAATAGGAGGGAACCAATGACACAGAGCAAAAATTAGTACGCAGAGTGTACAAATTGTTTGATTCTGAAATACAATACAATTTACATTGATATGGCACCTTTATGTCAGGAGGACATCTTAATTTATTGTCCTGGTAATTGCCCTGTGTTGTGAAAACTATGTACATTGTACATTGGAAAAACTTGTACATTGGAAAAACATATTGCAACAACCGTGGTGTCTCTAGCTTTATACGGCTGTAACATGGCAGGTACATAAGGTACCAGCGGTGAATGCATGTACCTTGTTGACACAAGGTTGTCAGGAAACATAAAATGTGGTTTGGACTGGAATTCTGTAATATTTCTATGGCTGTAACAATCCCCCTTCTCTGCTGATATGGTTTTACCTACAGGAACCAATTACATACCTTGCAGAACACACCAAGGCAGCCATCATGGGGAACACATTAAACGTTTTAAAGCATATTTTCATGAAGCATTTATTGCAGCCCTGCACATATATACAGTCAAAACCTGCCTTTTCTTTCAATATTACATGAGAAAGAAAAACCTGACTAATTGTACCTATTCTCTTGCTGGGAATAACTTTTTGTTGCTCCCAAATCTTTCTTTAGGCTGCTGTCACCTAGCAACGAGGCAATTCAGCTTCTAAATCATTGTTCCCACTGTTACTTGTTATTGATATTATGAAGAATGACAAGAAACAAACAAAATAATTGTTGCCGGCATTAAATAATTTATGAGATATCTATTTCTATAATTTTACATTGACATTGTAAATGACGAGTGAAAAAATTGTGTGCATGCACAGTAGCTTTTCATTTACATAGTTTATTATGAGTCGGGAGCTCTCCTCCCCCACTTCAGCCAAACTGAGAGTAATAAGGCCAGATCCTTTCCTGCGTCTGTGATGCAGTAAAGCATTAGTTACTACTCAATAATTCATTGTGCAGAAAAAGATGGTGCCTCCAATATTGTAATGCTTAAAAAATCCCATGTGCTTGGACATTAATGGTAATACTTTACAGAACAATATGGTTTGTGTTGCGACATGTGAATGGAATATGTTGAATGCAAGCAGTAATCTCTGATTTTAATGTTAGCTGTGTATTGTGGAAAAATTGCTGAATTACATCTGGGAATAAGAGAGAAACAGGTGATATTTGACATTGAGCCTGACCAGATGGACGAATAAAAAAAAATCCTTGCATTTGATACAGTGCCTATTCAAAACATCTCAAAGTGCTTCATGGAATATATTGTAAAGTGTAGTGACTTTTGTGTCTCTTGTGGGCGAAAATCATTCGGTTCAATCTCCTCTGAGACCTTATAATCCGTTTTTATTTTAGAAAATATTTAAAATGATAGAATTCTATCGGGTTTTATCGTAACACATATTCCTGGGATAATCTAAAATCTCATTTTATTTTATTATTTTGACATTGATATGTCAATGTGCCACTCAAATGTTAACAGTTATAAGAAAGCATTCCACGTACTGTGTGGAATTAAAATAGATGGAGCTGAGCCTCAACAAAGCAAAGAGCAAAATAATAGCGAGAGTGAGAGAAGAAAAAGACCCATTCTCAAACAAGATGGGGTGAAATTTACAGCATTTCATGGCGCATTTGATATGACACCTTTCACCCTTGTATCTTGTGGAGTCCTGTAGCTCAGTGGTTAGAGCACTCGCTTTGCAAGCGAGAGACCTGAGTTCAATTCCAGGCAGAGGGCGAAACCTTGGGCAAGTTTCCTTACTCCACACAGAGCCTAATAATAATCCCTCCAAAACCCAAAACAATAATAAATTGGTCATTTTCAATCTACGACTGTTTGTGGGACATTGCTGTGCGCAATTGGCTGCTGCGTTCGCCCACAAATATACAGTCAATTCACTTTACAGTGTGTTCTGTGAAGCGCTTTGGGAAGTCCTCCCGACGTGAAAGGCGCTATATCAAATGCAAGGATTATTATTATTATAATGAATGGATTTACATGTACAAGGTATGTTGATTTTACCATACTTTGAACAATATAATAATTTTTTTTGCATTTGATATAGTGCCTTATCACATCATCAAAATATCACAAAGCATTACTCAAGATTTATTATAAAGTGTAGTGACTGTATTTTGTTGACAAAGCAATGTAATATTGATAAGCATTTCATACAGTGCAAATGCTGCAGTCACGAAGGAGAGACCAATTGTAATATATTATGTATTCTACCCATGCTCAGCATTTGGCAGAATGGTGTGAACCTGAAATGGCAGATATGTTAAAGAGTATGAGTTGCAATATATAATCAATTGAACTGGATTCATGGATTTTTCATTAGATTACTCCTGAGTCCACAGATTCACACTTTAATTAATTGGCAACCATGATACAGATACATAAAATTGTAAAGCAGTCTGCCTGTAGATCTCTCAAATATCAGCAGCAAACAGTGATTTACTTTTTCAGATATTGTATAAACTAATACTGCAATTCTTCCGGAAAGAATTCTCTTAGCTTATTTGATAAATTATGTCTTTGGTGCAGTATCAATAGCTAAGATATTACAGGAATAAAATTCCACCTAGTCTTAGTCTGTTAGACCATTTTGCCCTAAAATGTAAGATTTACATAGACTACACAACATAGAAATATGTCAGGATATGTCGGATTGAGCCCGAATCTTATTCTTGTGTCCCCTGGTTACATATTCCCCCCNAAAAGTTGTAACAGCCTGTTTATGTTAACCTTATCAAACTGTTTTATAAACATCTGTATTATGTTCCTTTTTAAATGTCTCTTCTCTGGTATTTATACTCAATGATTCTCCACCCACTCCTTACTCCCACTCCTTAAGAATACTATTAGGTTATATCAGAAATGTACAAAGTACATACAATTTGCAATATGTCCTGCTGTCTGCCTGTTTCCATTCCTTCACAAAGAACTGAGAGGATGCAATAGTGCTTTTGAATAAAGCTATTCTGTAGGATTGCTCGGCTGCCGCAGACTTTTAAGACCATGAAGAAGAGCAAGCTATGAATCAACAACAACAAAAT